TTTCTCTTTTGAGTGTTTTTGGACTGCGACTCAGTCTCGGCCCATAAACAAGAAAACGAAAAAGAACTCGCTAACATCCAGCCATCAATCTATGACCTTACACTTGGTCGATAACCCATACTATTTTTGTGGGGTTATGCATTATGCATGCATCAGCCCAGTAAGCGAGCAAAATCTTGTGTGTCAGTCTGAGGACCTAATGTCGCGTGACAGAGCTTTTGGAGCATGAGTAGTCTGAGAGGTAGACTGGGTACTAGTATTTCGCGTGACTGTTTTTGAGTAAAGGCGACCATTGCTACATTTGTAGTGCGTAGTCGTTGCTATATCTAGTCAAATTGCGTTGTCATCAAATTAAAGACTACTTGGCATGCAAAAAGGTGGTTGTATAATTCGATCCATCGATAGCTTTCACAGTGGCTTTTAACCGAAACTTTGACAAAAATCATGGTCGAGGGTTATACTCAAGAAGAGTTTTTCTTCCGCGAAAAATTATTTTAAATTTCCATTTTGTCCAATTTTTGTATATAATTACTTTACTTTCATTGGTTTATAATCGCAAACCATCCCTTAGTAGCTCGCCCACACCAGGATTCGAACCGCCGACCCTTCCACCAGACTTCCGATTCCCTGACTGAATCCTTACCGCTGCTCCACCCTGTAATAATGGATTATTTGTGAGGAAATACAGCTATTAATTCATAACAGCGCATCGGACTTAGTAAATGTTTAAGAGAAAAAAAAAAGAAAAAATATAAGTAAAAAGAAAAGAAAAATTTCCAGTCTCACTTTAAGTTGAACTCATAGCCTTCTGCTCACAAGGGAGATATCTTCTCCACTGCTCCACACTAACTACCATACTCTTTGTGGACAAAATATGGAATAAATCAGCTTGTACGGAAGCGCTACGCGCTGGGTTGTTAAAACATCAGGCTCAAGTACGTTCCTAGCACGAACCTCATTTATTATTGTATTTTTGTCTGTCTAGTAATTACCTACTCGCACGACTACAATGCTTCAACTCAATGAATAAAACTAGCCATAAGCCCGCAAGTACGCATTGCGGATCTATTTTTGTGCAGGTGGTTATGTACACTGGTAATGATACTCTATAAAAGTCTAAGCACTGATCCGGGAAATGACTAACCCTTGCCCATTCTTGTGTCTCAAAAAATTGAAATAGAACATAACTACTGTACATCCAGACTTGCCAGACATAGAAACGGTTATTTCTAGTCAAAATAAGATACATGTAATAAAAATAACAATATTTGTTGACAGCCAACTCCCTCCTCTCCACCTTAGGAAATTATTGATTTGTCTTAACTAGTCATGTCATTGTCCTTGTATCTAGCTGTGCTGTGGGTTTTGAATTCTTTATGCATGCATGTTCTGACGCACTTTGTAATAGTGAATCGTCGCACTTTTTTAATACCTGTCTCATTTTGTAATAACACTTGTCGCACTTTGTATTATAATATAGATAGGACCCTGCGCCTGCTCTGATTGGTCAAAAACGCATGTTTTATCAGAGTATAAAACGTAGAAAAAACGTTTTTTATCGTTTTTGGCCACATAACCTCTAAGTCAACATTTTTGTTAGAGATGGCGAAAAACATTTTCCTTGATGACATTTGTGATGGAGTTCTCTGCGAAGCAGCAGAATGTTTTGAAGAGGAGGCATGTAACACTTTAGCGGTATTAAATTGCGTCAGTTTGTCGATCTGCGTGCCGTTGGGATGGCCTCTATGAACGACGGCCCCCCATAGTTAGGCTCCCCGAATGAAATTTTAGAGAGAATAATTTCCGTCGCGTCATTATATTATCGTATTAAAAAGAAATTTGAAAGCTTATTGCAAAGTGCGCCAACTTTTTATTAAAATTGCAACAGCTAGTATATTACAAAGTGTGACAGTAAATGATAACGTCAATTGCCTTTATTCTAGGCTAGGGTGAATAAGCCGGCCCTGGGCAGAAAATGGGGGCAACTCAACAAACTTAGAAAAAAGGAAAGACATATTGTACGGATTGTGTTTAATGCAGCAAAGTTGTACAAGCAAGAGCCACTTTTGTATAAACAAAAGGCAAAGGTAAAAATGAATCAATTATTTTTGATCACATATTCACCCGTGTAACAATTATTATAATATGGCAACCAATCCTAACGGATAAATTGATCAAATCAAATGATACAACTGACATTATCTTACCTGTGTACAAAATAAAAAAGAACCTTTTCTGGAAAGGGCTAAAACTAAAATGAGGTGTGACCAGTCACAACAAAGGGTTACTACAACAGACACTCGTCAAGAAATCAGTGGAAAGAAATGCACCCTGTGAAGGTTCAAATAAGGACAACACAAGAGCACTAACGAAACAACATACGTACAGAAAATTAAACTTTGGAAAAAAGAGTCAATGGTACATAGGAGTTAAAGACCTATCATTTCAGTTCTAATAAAAGATGTCCTTGATGAAATCCTAAAGGCAACCGAAACTGACGATGGCATGTTTGTGGAATTGGCAAGAATGTCTAGTTTGACATTGTCAAAAACTGTTTTCATTTATGGGATATCCACCGATAACAAAACACTGTTAATAGACTTCCCGTGTGAAAGATACATATTGTTCTTGGGCAACCATACACACCCATTTTCTTCTTCAGACACACAAAAACATGTCTTTGGAATGCCTCACTGAAGAAATATTACTTCTGTATAAAGGCCTACAAACTATTCTAGTGAGTTGTGGAATTTATGAAGACCAATAGGTCTCAGCCTGTGAGCAGTACAACTGCTGAAAAACAATTTCAAAGATGGAAAGACCAAGTTCTGTATCGATATGATACCTTAATCGTCAAAATCAAATAACAGCGACCATTAACAAATTGGTACGAAGAACAGTCTTCCATGGAAAGCGGTGCTAGATTGTCTCACACAAGTGTCAACAAAAAGCAGCCACGTTAGATGTGAGGCATGCAAATAGCTTTTGAGAGAGTGATTTTGCAAACTTCTTTTTTCAACTGTCTTCCTATCTTCTTCAAATACACAAGCAAGGTTGGGTTGTCCGGAGCAGCAAAAACGCATTTCACGATATCGAGAGATGGCGGAACAATAAAAAATTAAAAGACAACTGCCTACGAATGTCAGCCTAACAGCTCATAAACTCAGTTCTATAGTAGAACTGGCACTGCTCAGACAATACCTTTACAATAATTCAGTTTTGTATGCCCTCTTATGTCACGCTGTGACTTCCCTTAGAAAATCAGACACTGAGAGGGGAAATTTAACGCCAGTGCGAAAGTCAGTACATCCTAAAGAAATGTGTTTCCACCCTGTTGTTTTGAGGCAGTTTGTTATTATGGATGCTGGATATCAGAGTTGATTTGCATCAAATTTCGTACCCTGTTCGTTCTGTTATGCAAACAGGACCGAGATTAACAGGTATGCCTACTCTTAGCCTTTGAAACTGACATCACAAGTGGAATTGGAATTTTTAGTGACTGATTGGTCCGTCTACTAGCTGGCTAAACAACGTCAGTGGCAATCTCTCATAATTCAAACCTGGCACTGAGCCTTTCTGCCAAACTCAGTTCTATCTTTGGATTTTTCTTTTTTATTGTATTAAGTTTCGTATGGGAACTACTCGTACGAGACAAAGGAATCTCTGGAAATTTGCAATTTTGGACAGGAACCAGTGGGACCCTGTAAGTATGTTTAACATTTTACTAGAGGATGGCTTTGGTGGCTAGCCACCTCCCTTTCGAAGGAGCAAAAAATAACAAAAGAAATAGATTGTGAATATTGTAGCATAAATGAAGGGAAACACTCTGGGCAGTTTACGTCAGTGTTATTTTCACCTTGTTGGCATTGCTGGTATCTGTGGTGTAAGAGTTTCAAATTAGGTTCCAATTCTCAATTGAAACAGTTTTGGGTAATGCCCCATGAATTCTACAACCCAAAGGTACCACCTACCCCCACTTTAAAAATCCTGGATCTGCCCTCGCCATTTCTGTCATCGTATTATCCCTTGTTTTTTTATTATCTCTAGTAGGGTACCGCTCGAGACTGTCTATGCAACTGACTAGGCCACCTTGAATAGGTAAAATTTCCTTACTAAAAATAATTTCCTAATTTGTGTTTGTAGACTGCAAAACTTGCCACTCTCTCGAGATGAAAAGGTAATGTAATTTCCGCAGTATGATCATGGATGTTCGTTTTAAAGCAAGATAATAGTCGAAGGTTTCTATCAAAGACGCGCAGGCAGAAAGAGAGTCGTGCTATTTGCTTGGTCTGGTGTTCTTATACCTTGCATGGTCTCAGTGCGCCTGGAAAGCTTTTAAAGTTTTAATATCAATGTAGGAGAGGTGACTTCGAAAGTAGGTCTAGCTGGCATCTTTTCAAGTCTTTGGCAGTTTAAATTTTACAACACAGTTTGAGGTTGTGAACGATGACTTCTTCTCTGCCCAGCTCCGGGCTGTTGTCTTTGATCGCCTTGGCTTTGTCCTGATACCAATTTAAGAAACGCTTTTCTGAATTCGTGCATTCGCAAGGCATATACAAGAGGATTCACAATGGAATTGGCAAAAAAGATCACAGACAGCATCTCATGGACATTCACGCTTGACGCATTGTCCCATTTTTCCTTTACGTCTACTGGCATGGAGTCGAAAATAGTCAAAGGAAGAATGGTTAGAACGGAAACTCCAGTGACTATGAATAATGTT